ATTCTAAATAGTAAAACATTATGATCTTATGAACCTTGGTCTTAAGAAATTTTCTCTGACTGCTCCTGTTTAAATTTTAATTGAATACCCCTGTTATAATGGTTTATTAAATGTATAATTCTGTCTTCACTCATGATACCCTAAAAGCATCATCATGATCATCATCATCATCATCATCATCATCATCAGTACATTATATAAACAGCGCTAACAGAACTGGAGCTGATGGGCCTGGCTGGCAGACACCTGACTCTGCACTGAACACCAAACTAAACCTCCACAATCCAGATGCTGGCTGGTGTGTTGCAGGTTGTTTGACAAATGTGGAGATCAACAGATGGAGTGTGAACYTAAACAGATGCTGAATCAGAGCAGAGACAGATATCAGATCTGTTAAAGACTATACAAACAAACAACAAAAACACTRTCCATGCTTCCACATTTAAATGTCAAGTGGACACTAAGAAACACGACATGGAGACTTGAAAATAATAAATGAAGTCAAACCAATTATCTAGATCAGTGGTTCCCAAACTTTTCAGCTTTTGACCCACAAAATACCAGCAGCAGAGACCCGTGCCCCCAGCTGTTACCAGTTGATAAACATTGTTTTCACGTCAAATTAACAAGAGCATAGTAACATTATTTATTACGCTATTTTTGTCTATTTTAAGTACACAAATTTTATTATTTTGCAACAACAAAGGCAAAAAATGTGCTTAGTTGTCATTTTTTGTGTAATTATTTCAGAAAATATTTTCAGGACCCCACCTTGATGTTTCAGGACCCCACTTTGGGTCCCGACCCCAAKTTRGGGAACCACTGAAATGGATCACYAAKGAACAAAAATCAARAACAATTTCWCCTTTYTTTMGAGCTGGRTTAGTGTTTTATTTGRGTTTCACTTTTGTGTAAACCTGTTAGGTGACCTCTCTACTGGCTCATTTACTGGAACTTAATTATGTCACAGTCTGTGTTTGTTTTCTTTGTTTTTCTAGTGTTTCAGTGTTCCCCCGTGTTTCTCTGTCCTGCAGCCRCACCCACYCTCACCTGTTTCCTCTTGTGTCTTCTCCAGGTGTTTCTTGTTGTCCCTAATTAGTTTCCCTTTATATTCYYTGTCTTGTGATCTTGTCTTTTTCTGTTCATTGTGCAATTTTCCCTCAGCCTGTGTGGTGTCCACTTGTTGCCTTCGTGTTCTCCTGAGAAGTTTTTTGAACTGCCTTGCTAGTCTTTTTGTTTATTAAAGTTTTTGTTACCTTTTTGAGCCTGCCTACACCCTGGGTCTTTTCCTGCCTAAAACCTCACACATTACTATGATTATCTCAACAACCCAACAAACAAATCTTCCTGTTTCGATGTTTAAGGTTTTTGTTGTTTAATGGCTTTAGTTTGCTAAAAATAATTTAAARGTTTTAATATAAACTCTTGCAATACTTTTTCAAACATGCGTTTACAATTTTGGAATTCTTTCTTTGTTATATACGTTTAAAATTGCTCTGAGTCAAAAACTAACTTCAAATTGTGAGCATGTTCTGAATTCAGACCATTTTCACTGATTTTTTTTTTATTCATGCAAATGTGTTATACACTGATAATGACAGTAAACAATGATGCAGATGTAGAAGATGTACTTTGATTTTTGTTTCTATCAGCTACAAAAGAACCATGCAGAATGAAACATTAAACATGATAACTTTTACTCTGAACATATCACTGAGGTGTTTGTTTTTCTTTCTCCTTTTTTTGACCTTAGCCAATATTAGRTGCTGTAAAATCCAGACTGATGAATTTTTGCACACAATTGGACTACAAAATATTGTTTTTAGTCATCTATTCACATTTTCTTAATTTTTTTTTCACTCCAGGAGATGGGGTGGGGGGTTTGAGCTTGCAAGCCCATTCAGGTTGCACATCTGTGTTTTTAACCTTTTCTCTGTGTGTAAACTAATAATCGTCCATGGGCCAGGGTGGCTCACCGTGTCACCCCCCCCCCCCCCCACCCCAACCACTACTGAACTTCCAGTCCAGGTCCAGTCTTTCAGAAAATGCATGTTAACAGAAAAAAGTTGGGTCTCACTGCCCCCCAGGGACCCCTTTTTGGCCACACCCCTTTTCTATTGTGACCATCAAAATTAGGGGTACAGAAAACTTACACGCCAATAACTTTGCTATAAACCAACCGAAGTTTAAAAACATGATACTAGCAAATTCACATTGATTAGCTCTTCGATGTTCATGACGTTTCATTAAGCAAATATCTGCTTGATGATGTCATCGGGGGGGGGGGGGGGGTCAAAAGGTCACAACCCCAGCAGAAGATGAAAATTTTCATCTTTTTAGTCAGTAGAGTAGGGTGGGTCACCAAGCACACCCCACTACAGAACTTCTCTGGTATTTTCATGTACCCTAGGGTCCACTCTTTCAAAAAAAGTCACGTTAACAGANCACTACTGAACTGAAATTCTCTGGTATTTTCATGTACCCTAGGGTCCACTCTTTCAAAAAAAGCATGTTGACAGAAAAATATTTGGGTCTCACTTCCACCCAGGAACCGCTTTGTGACCACACAAAGTGGTGGGGGGAGCATGGTGAGCCACCCTAGCCCATAAAGAAAAGAAAAGAAAAGAAAAGAAAAGAAAAGAAAAGAAAAGAAAAGAAAAGAAAAGAGAATTTGAATCCAGTCCATTTAGTTTTGGTTTATCTAAAGGTTACAGTTATAAAATCTGTGGGCTCAACATGAACTGCAACCCATCTTTTATTGCTGCAGGATGTGTAAAACAAACAAACAAACAAAAAACTCTTTCCATTAGCAACTAGCTACCTACCAAGACAAAGAACAACAGAAAAAATAGAAATGCTGTTATTCCCAGTCTCAGATCCTCAGTAAAAACAACTGTTGCCCTTACTAARAGACAGGCACTCGGAACCTCTAATTTGGCTTTTTACTCCATGGCACAAGCAGCAGACTTTCACTGGAAGCATTTAAACAAGTTTCCAATGTCTTATGTAACAATGACATCATAATGAGGCTTAAACCCATCCGGTCATATGATCTGCATGCTGACAAAAGAAAAAAGAGAAGGCACGTCTAAAAGGGAGGAATTCTAAACAAATTCATAATAAATTAAAGTCCATCTGAGCCTATTTACTTGTTTAATAAACCCTACAGAGTCCTAAAGGTACAGATTCATTGCCAAATGAACAGTGTACTCTAATAGGCCACTTAAAATACAGGTTTTATGCCAGTATAGTTTTAAATGTCATGAATGCAGAGAAAGGGATTTTTGGGCTGCCCAGAACATAGTGTCCTGTTGTTTTTTCCTCTGTCCTGGAATGGAACAATTGGACTTTTTAAGACAAATCAGCCTGATYTGCTGTGAGAGATTTCCTTCAGCACTGTGGGAGACTGCATGACCCCTTCAGAGCATGCCAAAGTAAATCTCCTACTAACAATGTTGGGCTGTTCTGGGACCAGCAGGAGAATTTTAATGGAAAACAGTTTGACCGGTTCTGTGCTTGCAGCTGACATAAAGTTAAAGTGACATTTATGGGAAGCTAACAGTTTGGATTTGTTGCATCGACTGGAGGTAGTGGTGGAAACAAGTAAGTAATAGTGCTTTACTTAATTGCTTCTGTCAACAAACTCTGGAGGTTATGTATAATAAAAACTTGTACTGTAATAAACACGTGTCATCAGGTTTTCCTATTTTTTCCAGTCGGACTAGTTCATTTTTATTTATAGCTCAGGCGAGTGACACTGAATTGATGCCACTTGTTGATTTAATAAAAGAAAAACACATTGTTTTTCTTTTATTAGCAAATTCAACACCATTCAAAAATATTTCCCAAAGGAAAGTCAGGACTTGCATCACAAAGTTTAAAATTGGGTGTTAAGAACTGAGTCACTCTTACCCGGGTCCGTTGGGATTTTGGAGAGGTTAGTAGGAGACACCTTAAAGAATTTAACAGACTTTATTAAAGATTACATGTAAAAACCCACCGAACAGATTTGCAAATCTGGGAGAACACCAGACCGATACTTCCCTTCGATCGTCAAGCGTCTCGTCTAACTTCTGTAACTCTTGACATTTTATACTGYAGCCTCATTCTTATGTAATTTCTGAGCAACCTGCACAGGATTTGGATGTCAGCCTGACACATATTTGCACAGTAAGTGGGCGAGGAAACTGGACCCTGACCCCGATCACCAAACATGTTTTCCAATAGWTTTTTGTACGGCACACTGTGACATGCGAAATGTCATCTCCTAAGTCAAATTACATGATGCATTACTTATTTTAAAAACTATAAGCAGATAAATTACTGTAGTTATTAACAGGAGATAAACTATGAGTAAAACTGATCAAAATCTCAATATGGACAAGCGCAATCCTGCACAAGGGCGAAAGGTTTAAACAAGTTCAAACATCTTTTGTCTGCCAGTTATTTGTTCTCTGTAAACACAAGTTAGCTGAGGTGCTTGCTTAATGTCCTCACATCTGTTGCCTTATATCCATAGGTAACTCCTTCCCCTAGGTCATATTAATCACATTAAAGGGATGTTAATCAGAAATGCTGCTCACCTGCCCATTCCCCCATGGATCTGAAGAAGGTTTTCGACAGAGGAAACCACCATTTTGGAAAAAGCATCCTACTAAAGAGCAACAGTTTTACACCATAAAAGACACAAAKTGCTGCTCCAAGGAAAATAAAAAAATGTTCGATCATTTCCATTTTTTTGGCTTAATATATAGGAAAGAAAAAACATGAAAATAAAACTTTTGGACTGAAGTCTCTCAGCTTCTCTGTCTGAGTGAACCCTTTTTGTCTGACAGTGGCTATAACTTAGGACACACCCATTTCTCTCTCTCTCTCTCTCTCTCTCTCTCTCTCTCTCTCTCTCTCTCT